GGTCCAGTTCCAGTTGGGGTGGTGGTGGGGTCCAGTTCCGGTTGGAGGTGGTGGGTTCCCTCTCTTCAGCAGATCCTTCAGTAAATCACTCAATTGTCGTCTGTTCCCGCTATTACCTGGTGGTGGTGGTGGAGGGGTCCAGTTCCAGTTGGGGGTGGTGGTGGGGGTCCAGTTCCGGTTGGAGGTGGTGGGTTCCCTCTCTTCAGCAGATCCTTCAGTAAATCACTCAATTGTCGTCTGTTCCCGCTATTACCTGGTGGTGGTGGTGGAGGGGGTCCAGTTCCAGTTGGGGTGGTGGTGGGGGGTCCAGTTCCGGTTGGAGGTGGTGGGTTCCCTCTTTCAGCAGATCCTTCAGTAAATCACTCAATTGTCGTCTGTTCCCGCTATTACCTGGTGGTGGTGGTGGAGGGGGTCCAGTTCCAGTTGGGGGTGGTGGTGGGGTCCAGTTCCGGTTGGAGGTGGTGGGTTCCCTCTCTTCAGCAGATCCTTCAGTAAATCACTCAATTGTCGTCTGTTCCCGCTATTACCTGGTGGTGGTGGTGGGGGGGGTCCAGTTCCAGTTGGGGGTGGTGGTGGGGGTCCAGTTCCGGTTGGAGGTGGTGGGTTCCCTCTCTTCAGCAGATCCTTCAGTAAATCACTCAATTGTCGTCTGTTCCCGCTATTACCTGGTGGTGGTGGTGGGAGGGGGTCCAGTTCCAGTTGGGGGTGGTGGTGGGGTCCAGTTCCGGTTGGAGGTGGTGGGTTCCCTCTCTTCAGCAGATCCTTCAGTAAATCACTCAATTGTCGTCTGTTCCCGCTATTACCTGGTGGTGGTGGTGGAGGGGTCCAGTTCCAGTTAGGGGTGGTGGTGGGGTCCAGTTCCGGTTGGAGGTGGTGGGTTCCCTCTCTTCAGCAGATCCTTCAGTAAATCACTCAATTGTCGTCTGTTCCCGCTATTACCTGGTGGTGGTGGTGGAGGGGGTCCAGTTCCAGTTGGGGGTGGTGGTGGGGGTCCAGTTCCGGTTGGAGGTGGTGGGTTCCCTCTCTTCAGCAGATCCTTCAGTAAATCACTCAATTGTCGTCTGTTCCCGCTATTACCAGTTGGGGTGTTTTCTCTCAGAATAAGATTCACAAGCTGGTCCGCGAGATACTCCCGCTTTTGCTGAGCACCGTTCCCACTGCTTTCGGGTAAAGGGAGATATTCAGGAACTGAAAATATAAAATACAGTGTCCTTGTGGTCAGATAACAAGATGTATGCATTATGTATCACCAATAAGTTTCCTTTTCATCTTAACATTAGTTACATTTGTCACCAACTGAAAACGAGTTGCTAGCCTTAAGTCGGTTATGAATACGGCACTGGACTGTGAAATAGTTGAGGTAGAGTCAAGGGTGAATGCGATGCTGCCTGTTTCTGGACATTGTAATTATCATTACGTGTGAGAACTTCTCACTACCAGTGACTGTTTTACGTAATTTTATCATTGCTAATAATTAGGATGCAAGACAATTCCACTGTGAACTCAATACTCACAAACGTCAACCATGGCAAGAACAAACCGGAGTCCGGAATCCCTGATCTCGAAGAGGCCGAAGATGAGTTCCTTGACGAATTGGCTGGCATCCTCTATCGACATCTCTCCTAAACGGAAATGTGTAAACTTAGCAGCTGTACGTCAGCGTATCAAATATCGGGGTTGCAAGGATGATACGGGGTGCACTATAGACATAACACCGCATTCATCAAAATATGTTCTTGGGATTTTACGAGACAGACAGACAGAGGTTAGATTTGCAGTGTATTGTACCAACAACATGCATACTCTGTTCTACTGTAAGCACTTACCGCGATCCAGGCTTTTAGTGCACTGGAAAATCTTCTGCAGTAACCTTGCCATACATTCGATGTCGTCTGCCACCAGTTGTAATGCCACTTCTCTGTCGAATGGTTTCCCTGGGTGCTCTTTAACAATACAACCGTCCTACAGGCAACAGTTACGACATAGTATATACACAAGTGATCAAACAGTACAGACACCATTGATGACGTAATACAGTTAGAATTCATGGTGCAGTGCAGACATCACCGATGCTGCATTAGACACTGATGACGTAGTACAGACACCACTGATTTAGCAGTGCAGACACCATTGATGGTTTTGTATAGACACCGATGATGATGTATTAGACACTGACGATACAATAAAGACACCACTGACGATACAATCAACACACCACTGACGATGCAGTACAGACACCACTAATGATGCAGTAAAGACACCACTGATGATGCTGTACAGACACCTCTGATGATTCAGTAAAGACACTGCTGATGATGCAGTAAAGACACCACTGATGATGCTGTACAGACACTGCTGCTGATGCAGTACAGACACCACTGATGATGCAGTAAAGACACCGCTGATGATACAGTAAAGACACCACTGATGATGCTGTACAGACACCTCTGATGATGCAGTAAAGACACTGCTGATGATGCAGTACAGACACCTCTGATGATGCAGTACAGACACTGCTGATGATGCAGTACAGACACCACTGATGATGCTGTACAGACACCACTGATGATGCAGTAAAGACACTGCTGGTGATACAGTACAGACACCACTGATGATGCAGTAAAGACACCGCTGATGATACAGTAAAGACACCACTGATGATGCTGTACAGACACCTCTGATGATGCAGTAAAGACACTGCTGATGATGCAGTAAAGACACCGCTGATGATGCAGTACAGACACCTCTGATGATGCAGTACAGACACTGCTGATGATGCAGTACAGACACTACTGATGATGCAGTACAGACACTGCTGATGATGCAGTACAGACACTGCTGATGATGCAGTAAAGACACCGCTGATGATTCAGTACAGACACTGCTGATGATGCAGTAAAGACACCTCTGATGATGCAGTACAGACAGCTTATGATGCAGTACAGACACCGCTGATGATGCAGTAAAGACACTGCTGATGATGCAGTAAAGACACAGCTGATGATGCAGTAAAGACACTGCTGATGATGCAGTACAGACACCTCTGATCATGCAGTACAGACAGCTGATGATGCAGTACAGACACTGCTAATGATGCAGTAAAGACACTGCTGATGATGCAGTAAAGACACCGCTGATGATGCAGTAAAGACACTGCTGATGATGCAGTACAGACACTGCTGATGATGCAGTACAGACACCGCTGATGATGCAGTACAGGCAGTTGATGATGCAGTACAGACACTGATGATGATGCAGTAAAGACACCGTTGGATGATGCAGTACAGACACTGCTGATGATGCAGTAAAGACACTGCTGATGATGCAGTAAAGACACCGCTGATGATGCAGTAAAGACACCGCTGATGATGCAGTACAGACACCGCTGATGATGCAGTACAGACAGCTGATGATGCAGTACAGACACTGCTGATGATGCAGTAAAGACACTGCTGATGATGCAGTAAAGACACTGCTGATGATGCAGTACAGACACCACTGATGATGCAGTACAGACACTGCTGATGATGCAGTACAGACACTGCTGATGATGCAGTACAGACACCGCTGATAATGCAGTACAGACACCGCTGATGATGCAGTACAGACACTGCTGATGATGCAGTAAAGACACTGATGATGATGCAGTACAGACACTGATGATGATGCAGTACAGACACTGCTGATGATGCAGTAAAGACACCGCTGATGATGCAGTAAAGAAACTGCTGATGATGCAGTAAAGACACTGATGATGATGCAGTACAGACAGTGATGATAATGCAGTACAGACAGCTCTGATGATGCAGTACAGGCAGCTGATGATGCAGTACAGACACCGCTGATAATGCAGTACAGACACTGATAATGATGCAGTACAGACACTGCGGATGATGCAGTAAAGACACTGCTGATGATGCAGTAAAGACACCGCTGATGATGCAGTAAAGACCCTGCTGATGATGCAGTAAAGACACTGATGATGATGCAGTAAAGACACCGCTGATAATGCAGTACAGACAGCTCTGATGATGCAGTACAGGCAGCTGTATGATGCAGTAAAGACACTGCTGATAATGCAGTAAAGACACCGCTGATGATGCAGTACAGACACTGATGATGATACAGTACAGGCACCGCTGATGAAGCAGTACAGGCAGCTGATGATGCAGTAAAGACACCGCTGATGATGCAGTACAGACACTGATGATGATGCAGTACAGGCAGCTGATGATGCAGTAAAGACACCGCTGATGATGCAGTACAGACACCGCTGATGATGCAGTAAAGACACTGCTGATGATGCAGTACAGACACCGCTGATCATGCAGTACAGACACTGCTGATCATGCAGTAAAGACACCGCTGATGATGCTGTACAGACACCACTGATGATGCAGTACAGACACTGCTGATGATGCAGTACAGACACCGCTGATGATGCAGTACAGGCAGCTGATGATGCAGTACAGACACTGATGATGACGCAGTACAGAACACCTCTGATAATGCAGTACAGACACCTCTGATGATGCAGTAAAGACACTGCTGATGATGCAGTAAAGACACTGCTGATGATGCAGTAAAGACACTGCTGATGATGCAGTAAAGACACCGCTGATGATGCAGTACAGACACCACTGATGATGCAGTACAGACACCACTGAGGATCTTGTACAGACACTGTTGATGATGCAGTAAAGACACTGGTGATGATGCAGTACAGACACCACTGATGATGCAGTAAAGACACCACAGATGATGATGTTGTACAGACACTGCTGATGATGCAGTAAGGACGCTGCTGATGATGCAGTAAAGACACTGCTGATGATGCAGTACAGACACCACTGCTGATCTTGTACAGACACTGCTGATGATGCAGTAAAGACACCACTGATGATGCTGTACAGACACCACTGATGATGCTGTGCAGACACTGCTCATGACACAGTACAGACACCGCTGATGATGCAGTACAGACACTGCTGATGATGCAGTACAGACACAGCTGATAATGCAGTACAGACACATGATGATGCAGTACAGACACTGCTGATGATGCAGTAAAGACACTGCTGATGATGCAGTAAAGACACTGCTGATGATGCAGTACAGACACTGCTGATGATGCAGTACAGACACCGCTGATGATGCAGTACAGGCAGCTGATGATGACGCAGTACAGACACCTCTGATAATGCAGTACAGACACCTCTGATGATCTTGTACAGACACTGCTGATGATGCAGTAAAGACACTACTGATGATGCAGTAAAGACACCACTGATGATGCTGTACAGACACCACTGATGATGCTGTGCAGACACTGCTCATGACACAGCACAGACACCGCTGATGATGCAGTACAGACACCGCTGATGATGCAGTACAGACACCGCTGATAATGCAGTACAGACACTGATGATGATGCAGTACAGACACCGCTGATGATGCAGTAAAGACACTGCTGATGATGCAGTAAAGACACCGCTGATGATGCAGTAAAGACACTGATGATGATGCAGTACAGACACCACTGATGATGCAGTACAGACACCACTGATGATGCTGTACAGACACTGCTGCTGATGCAGTAAAGACACTGCTGATGATGCAGTAAAGACACCGCTGATGATGCAGTACAGACACCACTGATGATGCAGTACAGACACCACTGATGATGTTGTACAGACACTGCTGATGATGCAGTAAAGACACTGCTGATGATGCAGTAAACACACCGCTGATGATACAGTACAGACACCACTGATGATGCTGTACAGACACCACTGATGATGCAGTAGAGACACCACTGATAATGCTGTAAAGACACCTCCTCATAATGCAGTACAGACACCTCTGATGATGCTGTAAAGACACCGCTGATGATGCAGTAAAGACACTGATGATGATGCAGTAAAGACACTGCTGATGATGCAGTACAGACACCACTGATGATGCAGTAAAGACACCACTGATGATGATGTTGTACAGACACTGCTGATGATGCAGTAAAGAAACTGCTGATGATGCAGTAAAGACACTGCTGATGATGCAGTACAGATAGCCCTGATGATGCAGTACAGGCAGCTGATGATGCAGTACAGACACCGCTGATAATGCAGTACAGACACTGATGATGATGCAGTACAGACACTGCTGATGATGCAGTAAAGACACCGCTGATGATGCAGTACAGACACCGCTGATGATGCAGTAAAGACACTGCTGATGATGCAGTAAAGACACTGATGATGATGCAGTACAGACACTGATGATGATGCAGTACAGGCAGCTGATGATGCAGTAAAGACACTGCTGATAATGCAGTACAGACAGCTCTGATGATGCAGTACAGGCAGCTGATGATGCAGTACAGACACCGCTGATGATGCAGTAAAGACACCGCTGATGATGCAGTACAGACACTGATGATGATACAGTACAGGCACCGCTGATGAAGCAGTACGGGCAGCTGATGATGCAGTAAAGACACCGCTGATGATGCAGTACAGACACTGATGGTGATGCAGTACAGGCAGCTGATGATGCAGTAAAAGACACCGCTGATGATGCAGTACGGACACTGCTGATGATGTAGTAAAGACACCGCTGATAATGCAGTACAGACACCGCTGATGATGCAGTACAGACCCTGCTGATGATGCAGTAAAGACACTGCTGATGATGCAGTACAGACACTGCTGATTGTGCAGTACAGGCAGCTGATGATGCAGTAAAGACACCGCTGATAATGTAGTACAGGCAGCTGATGATGCAGTACAGACACTGATGATGATGCAGTAAAGACACCGCTGATGATGCAGTACAGTCACTGCTGATGATACAGTACAGGCAGCTGATGATGCAGTAAAGACACCGTTGATGATGCAGTACAGACACTGCTGATGATGCAGTACAGGCAGCTGATGATGCAGTAAAGACAGCTCTGATGATGCAGTACAGACACCTGCTGATGATGCAGTACAGACACCGCTGATGTTGCAGTACAGGCAGCTGATGATGCAGTACAGACACTGCTGATGATGCAGTACAGACACCGCTGATGATGCAGTACAGACACCGCTGATGATGCAGTACAGACACTGCTGATCATGCAGTAAAGACACCGCTGATGATGCTGTACAGACACCACTGATGATGCAGTACAGACACTGCTGATGATGCAGTACAGACACTGCTGATGGTGCAGTACAGGCAGCTGATGATGCAGTAAAGACACCGCTGATAATGCAGTACAGGCAGCTGATGATGCAGTAAAGACACCGCTGATGATGCAGTACAGACACTGCTCATGATGCAGTACAGACACCGCTGATGATGCAGTACAGGCAGCTGATGATGCAGTACAGACACTGATGATGATGCAGTAAAGACACTGCTGATGATGCAGTACAGACACTGCTGATGATGCAGTAAAGACACTGCTGATGATGCAGTACAGACACTGCTGATGGTGCAGTACATGCAGCTGATGATGCAGTAAAGACACCGCTGATAATGTAGTACAGGCAGCTGATGATGCAGTACGGACACTGATGATGATGCAGTAAAGACACCGCTGATGATGCAGTACAGTCACTGCTGATGATACAGTACAGGCAGCTGATGATGCAGTAAAGACACCGTTGATGATGCAGTACAGACACTGCTGATGATGCAGTACAGGCAGCTGATGATGCAGTAAAGACACCTCTGATGATGCAGTACAGACACTGCTGATGATGCAGTACAGACACCGCTGATGATGCAGTACAGGCAGCTGATGATGCAGTACAGACACTGCTGATGATGCAGTACAGACACCGCTGATAATGCAGTACAGACACCGCTGATGATGCAGTAAAGACACTGCTGATGATGCAGTAAAGACACTGATGATGATGCAGTACAGACACTGATGATGATGCAGTACAGGCAGCTGATGATGCAGTAAAGACACCGCTGATAATGCAGTACAGACAGCTCTGATGATGCAGTACAGGCAGCTGATGATGCAGTACAGACACTGCTGATGATGCAGTAAAGACACCGCTGATGATGCAGTACAGACACTGATGATGATACAGTACAGGCACCGCTGATGAAGCAGTACAGGCAGCTGATGATGCAGTAAAGACACCGCTGATGATGCAGTACAGACACTGATGATGATGCAGTACAGGCAGCTGATGATGCAGTAAAGACACCGCTGATGATGCAGTACAGACACTGCTGATGATGCAGTAAAGACACCGCTGATAATGCAGTACAGACACCGCTGATGATGCAGTACAGACACTGCTGATGATGCAGTAAAGACACTGCTGATGATGCAGTACAGACACTGCTGATTGTGCAGTACAGGCAGCTGATGATGCAGTAAAGACACCGCTGATAATGTAGTACAGGCAGCTGATGATGCAGTACAGACACTGATGATGATGCAGTAAAGACACCGCTGATGATGCAGTACAGTCACCGCTGATGATACAGTACAGGCAGCTGATGATGCAGTAAAGACACCGTTGATGATGCAGTACAGACACTGCTGATGATGCAGTACAGGCAGCTGATGATGCAGTAAAGACACCTCTGATGATGCAGTACAGACACTGCTGATGATGCAGTACAGACACCGCTGATGATGCAGTACAGGCAGCTGATGATGCAGTAAAGACACTGCTGATGATGCAGTACAGACACCGCTGATAATGCAGTACAGACACCGCTGATGATGCAGTACAGACACTGCTGATCATGCAGTAAAGACACCGCTGATGATGCAGTACAGACACCGCTGATGATGCAGTACAGACACTGCTGATCATGCAGTAAAGACACCGCTGATGATGCTGTACAGACACCACTGATGATGCAGTACAGACACCGCTGATGATGCAGTACAGGCAGCTGATGATGCAGTACAGACACTGATGATGATGCAGTAAAGACACTGCTGATGATGCAGTACAGACACCGCTGATAATGCAGTACAGACACCGCTGATGATGCAGTACAGACACTGCTGATGATGCAGTAAAGACACCGCTGATGATGCTGTACAGACACCACTGATGATGCAGTACAGACACTGCTGATGATGCAGTACAGACACCGCTGATGATGCAGTACAGGCAGCTGATGATGCAGTACAGACACTGATGATGACGCAGTACAGAACACCTCTGATGATGCAGTACAGACACCTCTGATGATGCAGTAAAGACACTGCTGATGATGCAGTAAAGACACTGCTGATGATGCAGTAAAGACACCGCTGATGATGCAGTAAAGACACTGCTGATGATGCAGTACAGACACCACTGATGATGCAGTACAGACACCACTGATGATGCAGTAAAGACACCGCTGATGATGCAGTAAAGTCAATGCTGATGATGCAGTACAGACACCACTGATGATGCAGTAAAGACACCACTGATGATGATGTTGTACAGACACCGCTGATGATGCAGTAAAGAAGCTGCTGATGATGCAGTAAAGACACTGCTGATGATGCAGTACAGACACCACTGATGATGCAGTACGGACACTACTGATGATCTTGCACAGACGCTGCTGATGATGCAGTAAAGACACTGCTGATGATGCAGTAAAGACACCACTGATGATGCTGTACAGACACCACTGATGATGCTGTGCAGACACTGCTCATGATGCAGTACAGACACCGCTGATGATGCAGTACAGACACTGCTGATGATGCAGTACAGACACTGATGATGATGCAGTACAGACACTGATGATGATGCAGTAAAGACACTGCTGATGATGCAGTAAAGACACTGCTGATGATGCAGTAAAGACACCGCTGATGATGCAGTACAGACACCGCTGATGATGCAGTAAAGACACCGCTGATGATGTTGTACAGACGCTGCTGCTGATGCAGTAAAGGCACTGCTGATGATGCAGTAAAGACACTGCTGATGATGCAGTACAGACACCACTGATGATGCAGTACAGACACCACTGATGATGCAG